ACTGAACTCTGGGCCTGGGTGCTGTCCTTCAGCTCTTCAACTCAAGGCTAGCGCTCTACCACTTGAGCCACAGCGCCATCTCCGGCTTTTTTCTTTTTTCTTATATTGTGCTGAGAAATCAAACCCAGGGCCTCATGCATGCAAGGCAAGCGCTCTACCACTGAGCCACCTTCCCAGTCCCCCAAAACAAATTTTTATGAGTGTTAAACACCCACACCCACCAGAACACCTAACCTCTAGAACTTGCTTCTGGTTAAAGTCTTACTGACAAATGAAAACACAATCTGTGAGGAGGCCCGTTAGCTTGGTTTTAGAGCCTCGGGAAGACATTTTATTTTACTATTATTCAGAAGTCAAAGTAGAGCCAGCTCTCCTTAGCTTTGGTGCTGGAGAAATTCTTACTTCTTATTTCACAATCTTTTGTGTAGTTGGTACGCTATGTCAAAGGTAAATAATCCCAAGAAATTACAAAGAAGGAAGAAAACATCAGGTCGAGTACTAACCTGTCTGTTTACACCATCAGAAAACCAGATACAATAGCTGTTTTCCCAGAAGGCAAGTGTTGACAGTCCAACAAGAAGCGGTGTGAGGCGCACCGGAGAGCCTCTCTCAGGCTGCGCAGTACTAAAGTTCATCGCAGAAATAAAGTGGTGACTCAGTCTTTGGCATCTCCTACTCCGTCCGCATTGATGGCAAACATAGCTTCAGCTTCAGGAAGACAGGGAGAGTCGTAGATTTTGCAGATTCTGGTTTCCCCTCTTCCTTTCCTCAGGTACAATCTAAGCCAAAGACAGACCGAGACAATGAGTTATTAAATAGTTCCATTCCTGACAGCTTTTTAGATATCCCTCACATGCTACAAGGATAATGGTATCTTTCTTGGTATACTTAAGTACATTTCTAATCTGGAAGAATCCATTTTAGCCCAGAAGCCCCTTAGTGGAATGCTCATATTCAATCAAACTTTTTTTTTTTAAGGATCAGGGATTTTCTTTTTGGCCAGTTTTGTGGCTTGAACTCAGGCCCTTGAGCTTTTTTGCTAAGGCCAGCACTCTACCACCTGAGCCACAGCTCCAGGTGAGGGGGTAAACATTTTTATGTGGCACTGAGGAATTGATCCCCAGGCTCCATGCATGCTTGGCAAGCACTCTACCACTAAGCCAGATTCCCAGCCCAGGGATATTCTTTCCTATACAATTGTTCAGAGAAGCTGGGATAAGTTGCATCACTATTTTTGTGCTGACACTGAAAGTTGAACTCCCAAGCTCTCAGGGTTTTTTTTGTCCATGTGTGGCTTCCACTTCCAGCTTTTTGGGGATAAAAATCTCAAGGATTTGTCTTCCTGTGCTGGCTTCAAACCAGAGAGCTGACCATAGCCTCCCAAGACCTAGGATTGATAGGTGCAAGCCACTGGCACCCAGCTTCACTTAACACCTATACCATATAATCAGAGCATGAGCAACTCAGGGAGAGTTCCTAAGAGTCCTGTTACACACAACACCTTCAGCAGGACATAAATGGAACACTTTTCATCTACTGTGATCACCTCACCTGGTTGTTGATGCATGGGCGATGATGTTTCCTCCAATAGGTTTCTTGGGATCAGCAGCAAACATGGCTGCTCCATCCACTTGGGCTACTACCTGGTTGGTGATTACGACTGCTACACCAAACTGTTGAGGGAGAGAGATGGTCAGTTTCACAAACCTCAATGCTGTCACCACTTCACCCACAAAGCAAGCGACGACTGCTTCTCTTTTCCTCCTCCCTTGTCTAAACTCTCTAATGTCCATACCGCTTACCAAGACTTCTGGAACGTACAGCCATTGCAAACAGGTGATCTTGATCCCTCCCTGCAGCTTACCTCATCAGCAAGTCGCAGAAGCATCCTCAGAAACCTGGCCAAGTGCATCTGCCTGGCTGAGAGCTCTCCTCGACCTGAGTAGTCTGTTCTATACAGGGCGGTGGCACTGTCTACAATAAGCAATGCATACCTACAGAGAACAAGAATTCTCTGAGACCAGTTTCTTGCCAAAAGTCTATCAGATTCTGCTCTTTCCTCACTACCCTAAAATTTCATATAGTTTTACTTGAATGTACATGGTTTTATTCCTAGCAACTCAGGAGGCTGAGATCTGAAGATCACAGAAAAGTCCGAGAGTTTTATTTCCACTACCAAAAAAAAAAAAAGAAAAGAAAAATAAGAAAAAGCCAAAAGTGAAACTGTGGCTCCTAGTAGAGCACTAGTCTTGAGCAAAAAAGGTCAGGGACAGCACCCAGGCTCTGAGTTCAAGCCCCAGGACTGGTACTGAAAATAAATTCATATAGGAATAGGAGATGTGGTTCAAGTGGTACAGCACCAGCCGTAAGTGTGAAAGCAGAGCAACAATGGGAAAGAACCTCTGTGTTCAAGTCCCAGTACTAACAACAACAAAACTCTACAGCATTCACAGGTGAGGCATTATTTTTGTTGGCAGAGCTGATCTCAAGGTCTCAACAGGAAAGTGATCTAGCACTGCGCCACATCTCCAGGCTAGCTTGTGTGTGCACAGATGCACACGCTGGAGCCTCTGCTACCTCTGCTTGCACCACAATCGCCACTCCGAGATAAACAGTCTAGATGGAGCCATGGCACCAGTAGCTCATGCCTGTAATCCTAGCTACTCAAGGAGGCTGACTTATCTCCAATAAACTACTCAGAAAAGCTGGAAGTGGCTCTGTAACTCAAGTGGTAGAGCACTAGCCTTGAGTAGAGACACTCAGGGACAGCACTCAGATCCTGAATATGAGCCCCAGGACCGGCAAAAAACCAAAACAAAACCTTGATGGATTTGTTTACCTGGCCTGGATCCAAAAAAATGATCCTCAGATCTCAGCCTTCTAAGCAGTTAGAATTACAGGTACAGCCATTCTGGCTTCATTTTTACCACTGACTTGCCCCAAATGACAAAACAAGGGTATCAAGATAAAAACCAAAACTTAGTACCCACCCCTTTCTTCTCCCTATTTTTCGTCAGTTGTGGGGCTTGAGCTCAGGGCTGTCCCTGAGCACTTTTGCTCAAGGTTAGAGCCCTACCACTTTGAGTCACAGCTGCACGTACAGTTTTCTAGTTGTTGGCTGGTGGTTGTTAACTGTGATCCTCAGATCTCAGCCTCCTGAGCAGCTAGCCTAACAGGTTGTGAGCCAGCCACCAGGCCCAACTTACCTCTCTTATTTGCGGTGTCCTAGTACTGAGCACAAACCCTAGCTTGGTCAGCTAGTATTCACTTGAACCATACCTCCAGCTCAACTTTTTGCTGGCTAACTGGAAACTGGACTCTTTCTGCTTATGCTGGTTTCAAATGGCAGTCTTCCAGGGCTTAGCCTCCTGTGTAGTTACATTATCAAGTTTCAGGGAAAGGCCAGGTTGCTGGTGGCTCACGCCTCTAATCCTAGCTGCTTAGGAGACCGAGATCTGAGGACTGCGGTTCAAAGCCAGATGGGGCAGGAAAAACAAAGACTCTCATCACTCAACTACCAAAACAGCTGGGAACGGAGCTGTGGCTCAAAGTGGAAAGGCACTAACCATGAGCAAAAGAAGCTCAGAGATACTACCCAGGCCCCCTGAGTTCAAGCCCCACAACCAACTCAAAAAAAAAAAAAAAAGATTCAGGGAAAGAACTCAATATATTCAATACATTTTGTGACTTCTCTTAAGTACATACCTAGATTCCACCATCATGGCCGACGCTTGATAAAGGAGCTGTGTCTGGTGGTCTGTGTTGAACCCGCGGGCGTATGCTACGTTATCCAGGACATCACTGCCAGAGAGACCATATCTAGAAGAGAGCGCACAAAGCTTGTGTCTGGGTGGGTACAAGGAAGCAGAGAGTGGCTGTAAGGTCCATGAATACACTTCTATAGGAAGTTTAGGCAAACTACACGTGAAAAGGTGACAGGAACAACTACTTTTGAGTACCTCTCTCTACCTGACAATTCTAGGATAAATCTGATTTATGCTTTGCTGACTCGAACTAGAATGAAACCTAATTAGAAAGAAATGATATTCTAGAAAAGCCAAGGACATGACAATTAGGAAAAGCAAAATAGGAACAAAACCTTTTATAGACTAGAATTCACTGTATGTATATATGTACGTATGTACAATACATGGATATCCTACTACATTTGCACTTTACTAGATCAGTTTGCAGCCACCCTGGGCAGGAAAGTCCCAGAGACTCTTACCAGTAGCTAGAAGTGAAGGTGTGGCTCAAGAAATACAGCACTGCCAGGCGCTGGTGGCTCACGCCTGTAATCCTAGCTATTCAGGAGGCTGAGAACTGAGGATTGCGGTTCAAAGCCAGCCCGGGCAAGAGAG